AAATCCAATGTATATATATATATATATATATATACACATACATATATATATATATATATATATGAGAAAGGTTATAATAACACCGGTGTAACTTTTGCTAAGTATTACACCGTTCAATAACCTTATATTAAATGTGAATTTTGTAAATTCAACCGTTAGATTGAAAGTTTTTTACTCTTAGATCATATATACAAAATTTTATATTAATCCAAGATAATTTGATACTGCATTTTTATAAAATAAAATTAACGTAATATATTTATTTCAAAATATACTAAAATATGAACACTTTGATTACCTTCAAATTGTTGTTCAATTTTAACAAAATTTGATATAAACATATAAAATTATATGAACTTTGAATCTAACGGTTAGATTTACAAAATTCACATTTAATATGAAGTTATTGAACAGTGTAATACTTAGTAAAAGTTACACCGGTGTTGTTATTCTTTCTCTCTATCTAAATATTTTAAAAGATAAAAAAGTAAAATAAATCTTTAAAATAACATAAAAAAATCAAAAATATAATCTAGCAAAAATTAGAAGACCTAAGATTTAAAATGAAAGGGAGTAATAAGAGAAAGAAACATACAAGGAATAAATGCTTAATCTTTTTGTGATCCATCTTCTGGCCATCCTCTTGAGAAATGTTGAGCAACTTATCTAACATGTCATCATCAATTGTGGCATCTCCGAACTCCAATCTTTTGTAAATCAACCGATCAAAAATAACGAACAACATGGAAATATAAGTAGACGAGCGTCTTCTAATGCCTTGTGGATCAACCATCTTCAACAAAGGCAAAAAATCCACCAAGTTTGGCGTTCCAATTGCTCTCACAAGATTCTCCACTATGCCCTTGTACTCTTCACCTTCACCTACAGAGTTAACAAAATCCAAAGAGAAAAAAGTGTTTGCCAAAAAATTAATTGCGGTCCTAAACGCCACATTTCCAATATCCACCGCTTCACCCTTGAGGCTGCATGCATGCACATGATTTAGAAGTTCATGCAGTTTCTTGCGTCTAAGGTTTTGGCTTGCATCAAGGGACTTGTTGTTGAACAATTGGTTGTTGCATATTTTCCTAAGGTCTCTCCAAAGAGGTGAAACGGGGAGGAAGGGTAAGCTATAATGGTTGTGGTTGTGAACCGTTGTGGCTTGTGGAATTGTTCGGTTTGAGAATAACAAATCATGGGTTTGGAGTACCTCTTTGGCTATGTCTGGTGAAGAGATAACTATGGTGGTTAGTTGACCAAGCTTCAAACACATTATGGGGCCATGGAGCTTGGCTAGCTTGGCCAGTGTTTGTTGTGGCCTTTTGCTAAGTTCAACCAGGTTTGCCACAAGGGCAAGAGGAGAAGGTCCTGGTGGAAGTTTGTAGTTTAGTTTTCTTCTTACTTTATTTGAGATAACGTGTATAATTGTGCATGTTAATAAAAGAAGTGTACAAATTTCGGAATCCATATTTATGGAATCCGTATGAAGGCAATTAGATGCATAGGATTAACAGTGTATATAAAGTGCATGAGAATGAATCAAAGTCAAGAAATCAACAGAAAATTTATATTTCTAGAAGAAGTCAAACGCTTGTCTACATATATATATATATATATATATATGTATGTATGTATGTGTGTATGTGTGAGAATAAATTTATTTATTTCATGAGTAAGTTTAAACTTACTTCATTCAATAATTTATATTTTATATTAAATTTTAATGATGCAACCGTAAAATTAAAAATTATTAACGCATATATCAAGTCTACAAATTTTTAAAAAATTAAAAATTATTTAATATTTTGTTATTTAAATTCAAGTTAATGTATAAAATATTTTTAAAATTATCCATTAATTTGAATTAATGATCTGGAGTATCCAATAATTTTGTATTTTTTAAAAAATTTGGAGACTTGACATATGCATTAAAAACTTTTAATTTAACAGATAGATCGTTAAAATTTGATGTAGAATATGATTTATTGAGTAAAGTAAGTTTAGGTAGACTCTTTGATAGATACACTTACTCAATAGTAACTTAATAAATAATTCACGTTGTACATCAAATTTCAATTATCTAATTGTTAAATTAAAAATTCTTAATATATCAATCAAGTCTGTAAATTAAAAAAAAAAATTATTTGATACTTTGGTTCATTAATTCAAATTGACAGATAATCATGAAATAAGTTATATGCTAATTTGAATTAATAAAACAGAGTATCAAATGATTTTCAATAGTTTTAAAAATTTGCAAACTTGATGTATGCATTAAAAACTTTTAGATATAATTTATTTTAACGATTAGATAAATGAAATTTAATATAAAACATGAGTTATTAAGTGAAGTAAATCTAAATAGCCTTAGGAGTATGAATTGGATTAAGATTTCAAAAGATTTTAAAAACTTTTATTATAAAAATCTTTTGTAGTATTGAATTAAAAGTTTTTTTAATATAAAAATAGTCATGCGATATTCAATTAAGATATTGAGTTTTTTTTAAAGAACACATCAAAATCTAGTGGTATTCAATTAAAACTTTTTTCCCTTAAGCAAAATTTGTTGATATTAAAAATCATAGAGATTTCAATGGATTATTTCTATGAATAGAATTTGTGAGACTTTTTGTAGAATTTACATATAATTCACTCATCTAGCAATTTTACTAAAACCTTTGGGGTTTTGCATGACTTTTTTTTTTGTTTATTTCTCCTCTTTTTTTCGCTCTTTTGCCTTTTTAATTTTCTTCTCTCTCTTTTTTGTCCGTATCTTAATTTTTTATTTAAGGCATTTGTTTTAATTTAAGGATTGATATTATGCATTCTTATTATCACTTAAAAATGTCATTATTCTCATAATATATACTCCCTATATACATACATATATATATATATATAT